AAAAAAAAAAAAAAAATAACTATTTCCTACCACTGTCAACATTTTATTAATATTTACTTCTAATAACCTCATTAAAAAAGAACAAGTCCTTGTGACGCACCTCTCACTAACTCCCACCTTCCAGAGGCTCCTTCCCCCAGTGCCCGCTCTCCCCTTGCACTGAGGTGAACTGACTGTTCTCCCTGCGCCAGGCACCTGTTCCTCCTTCATCTCACCCTCTCTCCCACCCACTCATGTTGGCTTCACACACCCTTCTTTCAGTTCAGCTAACATGCTAAAATTTTCCTTCTCCTTGGCTAAGTGCACTCGTCCTGTGCCTCTTCACTCATTCCTAAGGGCACACAGACGATGACCTTAGGTCACTGTGACTTCATGGGATTTGGGACACCTTCTGAGACACCCCCTGCACCCAGCATACATGCAGGGCCCACATTCGATTCTGTTTTCTCAGAATACCCTCTCTCTTCCTCTGTAGCACTGAGTAATACTGTAGCTAACTAACCACTTAGCTCTCTGCTCCATGACAGCAAGGACTAGCCTGTCTTGGTCTCCTCTTTGCCCAGTGCCTTCCTGTGTGCGCGGCATGTAGGGAAGATGCTCAATGAACATCTGTTGTATGAGTGATAAATACACAGGGGAATAAGGGCTGGGCATCGTGGGAGTCACACCTGCTGGCCCCAGGCAGTCTTCAGAGTCTGGAACCTCTCCACATTGCCACTGTTGAAGGCGTACAGGGTGTCAATCAGCCACTGCCGGTCAGTGTTCCGCAGGGACTCCAGCACAGGGTGCATGAGCTGTGAGGACAGAGATTGTCAGCTGGTAACACTTCAGTCTCCCCTTTCCTTGTTAAGGAAGCTGAGCCCAGGGTCAACTTACAAGTTCTCCAAAGTTAAAAACTCCCTCGCCGAGAAGTCCTGCTAGCCCCAGCGTGAAGGCTCTCTCCTGCTGCTCAGACACTATGGTAGCAACACAGGCCCACTTACCATCCAGTCACAATCATCAGTCCTGTTTAGCTTTCAAAGTCTCATATAACAAAAACGTAAAAAAACCATTGTTTGTAAGGGTGTATTACAAAGCCTTGACTTTAGTCACCTCTTCTAAAGTATTGGGTTGAC